AGACAAGGACACGGGAGGCCATGCCTCGGAGACGAGGCAGGGAGGGGTGATCAAGGCGGTGGTGCCAGAGGAGAGTCTGGTGGGACAGGAGACGACACGAGCAGGGAGCAAACTCAGGACCAGACCTGGACGCTGCAGCAAACACCTGACTCGACGCAGCAACCTGACCAGACTCAGCAACTGGAGGAGACTCAGTAGTCAATGTGTACAGGTTCGACCCCGGCTAACGGGTAAACGTGGCCAAGTGTCGGCCCGTCCGAGCACACGTACAGTGGGTCACCCGCTGACTCGCAGGAGTGAACTGGTCGACCCCCCGATCCTGTAGATCAGCACCACTCACCAAGTTCGTAGAGAACGAGGGGAGGTAGAGACCTGACAGGGTGCCAGAGGGGGCTACTGGACACGGTAAGACAGCTGAGAAGTGGGCAAGGACAGGACCCCCTGAGGGGTCCGCCAAGGAGACCGCAACCGGCCGACTAAGCGGCGTAAGCGTGGTGCGGTCTCGAAAGAAGGAGCGGGAAGCACCCGAGTCAAGGGTGAAGGTGTGTAAGGCCTGAGCCGACGTGGTACCTGAGAGAGCAGACTCACCAACACCTGGGGCAGCAGACGCACTAGCACCTAGAGCAGCAGCCTTACCACCACCTAGAGCAGCACCCTCAATGCCCGGGTCAGGCGGAACACACAGGTAACAGTCACCCTCATCACTAGTAGACACAACATACATGGCAGCAAGAATGGCATCATAATCGAGATTAAAGACAGCAACCCGCGACCTAAGCAGCTCGCCTCAGCGGGGGATCTCAGTGGCGTCAGGGAACTGGAGACGCCAAACGTCCGTCAGACGGCCGAAGCAGCGCTGGGTGGTGTGCGGGCCACCGCACGGCTCACCAGTGCGGTCGCCGGTACGCAGGACGTAGGCACAAGGACCAGCATCCCCACCCCGCTGACGCGCAGAGTACCAGTCACGAAGCTGCTGGGGGGGGGGGGGGGTCTCACGAGTGCGGAGCTGCTGCTGGCGCTGACCACCACCGAAGCCGCCCCGCTGCGCAGAGCCACCCCGACCAGCTCCACCTCCGCCGCCGCCACCTCCGCCACCGCCGCCACCGCCTCCTCCTCCGCTCCCACCGCCACCGCCGCCGCCGCCTCCGCCTCCACCGCCGCCACCGAAGCCCCCACCCCCGCCACCACTCCCACCACCACCCCCACTCCCTCCGCCTCCTCCACCGCCACCTCCACCGCCCCCGCCAGCCCCTCCAGCGCCCTTGCCCCCCTTGCCCTTGCCGGTGCGGCGTCGCCCGCTAGGGGCAGACGCAGCGCCGACCGACTCGGTGCCAACGAAGTCGACGGCAGGAGCAGAGGCAACAGAGGGCAAAAGGGGGGAGGGGGAGCACCCCTCAAAGACGGGGGCACGAGGGTCACCACGAGAGGCTCCAACAGCGACTATACTCTTCTCAGCTGCCAGGAGGCGCTCCTCGAGGAGGTCAACGGTGAGTGTGGTGGGGCAAACAGAGAGGAAGTGGTCCCTGACCGAGCGAAGGGAATCAAGGAGCCGGGTGACTATGTAGTAGAGGGTGATGTACATGGGGGGGGGGGTTCTTGGCGCAGAACTCAGCAGGAAGCGCAGCGTGGTAGCGGGTGTCACTAGTGCGAAGGTGCGTAACGAGGTCAGCGACAGTGGGAAAGGCGGCGAGGTCAGGAAACAGGTACGGCAGCATGAGGCGGCTAAGGGCAGCAGTGGCAGGGGAAGAGTAGCATTCAACTACAGCATCGTACAAGGTCTTAGCGCTCTTGTACTGACTAAAGTGCGTGCGCTCAGTGGACGGCAAGTGACTACGCACAGCAAGACGGGCAGCAGCATCGCGTGTGGCCCACTGTGAGCGAATAGTGCTGTCAGCATCGGCAGCAGGGGCAGCAGAGGCGCCAGACTTGAGATCGAACTGTGAGAGACCGTCCTTCCTATCGCACTGTAGGAAAAGCTGTAGATCATGGACCCAAACCTCAAAGTCAACAACCCGACCCTCAACTCAAAGACTAGAACGCTAGGGGTAGCCATGACAGCAGTGGCAGCAGGCTAGGGGCAGCAGTAGCGGGCGTGGCTCGGCAGTGCTCTTACCAGGGCTGGTAGGTAGGGGCCGGCAAGTGGTGGGGCAGGGCCGAGGCGCGTCGGCAGGGACAGAGCCGGGACCGCGGCGGCAGCTCCTGCTGTCAGTGGCGGCGGCAGTCGCTTCTGTCGGCGGCGACGGCTGCTGCTAGTGGCGGCCGCGGCTGCTGTCGGCGGCGTCTGCTGCTGTCAGCTTCTGCTGGCGGCGGCGGCAGCTGCTGCTGGTGGCGGAGGAGCCGAGAAGGGGCCGGGAAGGGTGGCGAAGGGGCCACGAAGGGCGGCGACGGGGCCAAGAAGGGGTCGCGAGGGGCCTCGAAGGGCGGCGACGGGGCCGCTAGGGGCGGCGACGGGGCCGCGAAGGGCGGCGACGGGGCCAAGAAGGGGCGGCGACGGGGCTGTGGAGGGGCCGCGAGGGGCCTCCAAGGGCGGCGACGGGGCCGATAGAGGCGGGGACGGGGCCGCGAAGGGCGGCGACGGGGCCGCTAGGGGCGGCGACGGGGTCGCGAAGGGCGGCGACGGGGCTGATAGCGGCGGCGTCGGGGCCGCAAAAGGGCGGCGACGGGGCCGTAACGGGCGGCGACGGGGCCGCGAGAGGCGGAAACGGAGCCGCGAGGGGCGGCGACGGGGCCGATAGGGGCGGTGACAGGGCCGCGAAGGGTGGCGATGGGGCCGCTAGGAGTGGCGACGGGGCCGCGAGGGGCGGCGACGGGCCGCGAAGGGCGGCGACGGGGCCGCTAGGGGTGGCGCGAGGGGCCGTGAGAGGGGCCTCTAGGAGGGCGCGACGGGCCGCTAAGGGCAGGGGACGCGACGAGAGGGCGGCTCACGGGGCGCGCCTCGAGTAGGGGCGACTCGCGCTTCGGTCATATTTTTTTTTTTTTAATTATTATTTTTTTTTTTTCGATTTTCAGTGGTGGGCCTTAGGAAGGTTCCCACTAGGGAACCTGCTCTACACCATGTGAAGAAATGAGGAATGATTTACTAGAGGAAAGGGTTGGGTACAAGTACAAACCCTAGAAATGTGTTGTATCCCATATGTGCTACTCCACTATAGCCTACACAGGCTAAGTCATATGAGTCTGACAAGTCTGACGAATCAGACAGCCCCAAAACGAATCTGAGGGCCTGATCTTCACTATGCTTCACCCTATTTCCAGTTCCAATTTGTCGCAAAAAGTGTGCGACATCTATTTGCGAGTTTTCATGCCTTCGAAAAAAGGTGTAAACAGAGCATTTGCCTTACAGATTTTATCAAACACTTCATATGTGGTGAAGTGAGGAGAGTGTGAAACGTCTGTACACGTGAAGTGCACATTACCTCCTGTATCGAGTCGAAACCCTCTGTGGATCTCTGCAGCATTGGTGGAAAGGAACCTTGCAATGACAAATGACATTTCGAGGCGTCTCGGGGCTAGCTCCACGTGACTTTCTCAGACCACCGATTGGTTAAAGCTGCCAGCAGATGAAGCCACCTCAACTAGCACATTTAGACGGTAGTGCTCGGCGCGCAAAGGGATGTCCGTTGTTCTGACCCTTGCACATTGCGCACCGCGAGGGATGCCAACCAAGCAAAACTTCAGGACGCGGCACCTCAAGCAATTTTGCACGATCGATCGCAGGATCACTGATTCAACCGTACGGAAAACCTTGTAAAAGTCTTTAAAGCTTTTGAAACCATTTAAAACTCCTAAAACATTCGATCCTGCGCAGGTTCGATTGCAGGGTCGGTGCTGGAGGTGCCGCGTCCTCATCATCGCAATTCCCCGTCGCCTTTTCGGCCAGCCCACGCGTCACGAAAACATGTTTGAGAAGGTAACCTGCTTCGCAGAGCTCTTTTTGCACGTCGTAAGCTGCCACTTTCGTACAAACCTTCCACAAACGGGAACCTTCCCGTTCCTGCCTCTCCTGCCGCCATAACCTTCTATCCTAGCTGACGTTCCACAGATTCCATTTTGCTAGCACAAAAATCTTATAAGCATTAGTAAAGTTCCGCCATGGCTGTCGCCGCTTTACGCGAAGGCATCGTTACTGGTAGTACTGGCTTGTTCCTGCGGCCTCAGATTTTTTCTGTGCGCCCTGCTCATTACGCGAAATCACCGCTTTTCGTTCGTCCATCGCGAGCCGATAGTTCAAGAATCCGGGCCGTGAGGTACAGGAAGCATCATGAACCGCGGCAGCAGTGTTACGCGTCCTTTCGATTTTCGCCACCGCCAGGCGACGAGGTGGTTTGTAACAACGTTACCCGGACGCGTTACCGCGAGGTCCCTCATCCCGTTAGCGAAAAAGATTACCGTCGCCTAATCCGTTGTCAAGCACAGTCTGCAATATCCGTAACCAGCGATTTGGACTCTTCGCCCAGCGAAACCGCAACGGTTACCACCAAGGCGTTACGACTCGTCGTCCCGCTGGTGGGGGTCGCAGCTTTTGCAGCAGGCGTCAGGGCTAACTGGCGATTCTTCAGCAGCGAATGGTTCTTGACGATATTAGCGAAATTAATTGGGTACATCCTAATCACCGCATCGACGGTGCTGAAGCTTCCCCAGGTGCCGATCTCAGCCCTGCTCGTTTCGTTAGGGGCTCATTTCGTTTTAAGGCCTAACTGTGAGTCAGTGGCTTCCAATCGTGCCGAGTCGCTGCGATCTCGTTCATCATAACCGTCGCACGATTGTCGTCGCTGATCTTATCTCACTGCCGCGCCTCGAAACATCAGCGTGATCGGCGGCCTGATTGTTTCTATTCTATGTTTTTTATACCATTAATATTATTACGTTATATTCTGGAATGCATTAGCGGATCATCGAGGGGTTGAGCGTGTCATCTTCGAGCTGAAGTGCCTGGTCTACACCGTTCTACACCGTAAATATAACCGCTGTATCTCTCTGTACCACTCTCCTGTCTGCAGATCATCCGCATAGTGCGGAGCAACAGTATCGAGGGCCTGAGCGTCCCATCGTTCGAGATGGAGTGTGTGGGCTACACCATCTCGCTGCTCTTCTGCTGGACGCGCCGCGTGCCCTTCAGTGCTTATGGCGAGCTCTTCTTCCTCGTACTCCAGTGTGAGTCGTCGCCTGTGTGTGTGACTGTAACGAGATAGAGTGTGTGGCCAACACCCTTTTGCTGCTCTTCTGCTGGATGCGTAGTGTGCTGTTCAGTGCCTATGGCGAGCTCTTCTTCCTCATGCTCTAATGTGAGTGAGTTACCAGCGTGACTGTAACGAGGAGAGTTTATCTGTCTGCTCAACTCGCAGTGTACCCTTCAGTGCCTATGGCAAGCTCTTCTTCCTCGTGCTTCAGTGTGAGGCAACAGTGTGACTAAAACGAGCGGTGTTTCTTTGTCCTCCAATTTGAGTCACCGGTGTGACTGTAACGAGCTCTTCTTTTTTGTGTTCCAATGTGAGACTCGCTGGGTGTGCTAATGACGAGCGGTTTTTTTTTAAATTATTATTATTCAGTTTGTTCACATGATCTACCTTTGCTTCCATTTAGTTTTCCCTTTCTCTCCTTCTGTAGCTTTCCAATACACGCGTCATCTTACGAGCTATTGACTTTCTCCTCTCATTCTTCTTTACATTGTTCCCGTCCTTCTCCTTCCTTTGTGCTTCTCTGCAGCGCTCATTCTCATGCTGCTGATTTATTTCCATTCCCCAAGACTGGGCCGCCAGAGATACCTGAGGGCCGGCATGTACGTATACATGCATCCCTAGTCCATTTTCAAGCCCTATTCTCCGTGCTACCCAAGGCTGAGTCGCCATAAATTCCCGAGAGCTCGCATGTCCGTCTATATTTAGCACTATTCGGCCCACCTCCCCCTCAAACTTCTTATCCCTCCCCCACAATATTCCTCCCCATTCCTGCCATCTTCCCCCCCCCCCCCCCCCCCCCCCCCCTCTCCGCTACATGGGCATGGTGGCACTCCTCGTGTCACCAGCCATGCGCCCCGACTGCTTCGAATCCGTCTAATGCAATGCTGCCCCTTCCCACCAACCACCCTCCCAACCTCTCTCCCCCTCCACCCATCGTCCCCCCCATCAGCTACATGGGCATGGTAGCACTCCTCCTGTCACCAGCCATGCGCCCCGACTGCTTCGAAGCGCTCTATGTGAGTCATATTCTGTGTGCCTGAGGTGACTTTTGAGTCGACTCAAAAACCAGCCATGCGCTCCGACTGGTTTGAAGCCCTCTATGTGAGTCATGTCCGTGTGACTGTACGTTAAGTGCCTATGTGATTTATTTGTGTGACTGTACGGGGAGTCACGCAAGTTATCCGAGTTTATCCCCTCCCCTTCATTTCAGTCTTTCCTCAAACTCCTCTTTGCACCTTCACCCGACGCTGTCACAATCTCTCTCCGCTCATTTCTTTCTCATCCTTCCCTTCCATTGCAGTTCTCATTCCCACCTTCCACGCATTTCACCCCCTCTCAGGCTCTCTTTTCGCTCACAAAGGCTCGCTCTCTCTTGCATTACATTCTGTCATACGCAGAACGGGCAGACGGCTCTTTTCACACTCTCAAGACTACCGCAGATGTGGCAAAACTTTGTGGTGAGTCTGCTTGTAACGCAGATCTATTACGTCTCCACCTCCTCAGAACGGTTGTTTTTTATGCATTCTGTGCCGTCCATTTCATCCTCTTTTTTTTCTGCGCTCACTCAAATACCTCTTCCAATCCCGTACTGTTGGCTTGCCCTTCTGAGTCCTCCAGCACGGGTCAGCTTTCTCTCTCCACCAGTGCCATGAGCGCAGCAGGGGGTGTGCAGCAGGGGGTGTGCATGAGATACATAAGTTTCCCTGCACACACCTCTCTTGTCATTCTCCTCCCCTTCCCCTCTCTTCTGTGTCTCTCAGTCCGCCAGCACGGGTCAGCTGTCTCTCACCACCAGTGCCATGAGCGCAGCAGGGTGTGCAGGTCTGTATGTCACACTGTGCTGCTGGGTTTACTCGTTTGTGCGGATGAATCTAAATTGCAATTGTAGTAAATGCCATGAGCGCAGCAGGGTGTGCAGGTCCGTATGTTTCTCCGTGCTTCTGCTTTTCTCATCTTTACAATTTCGAGTGAATCCAAAAGGCGATTACAAACAAGGTGTTTTCCTATTTGGGTCTTTTTGTTTTCGTTTTCGCAATGACGGTCAGTATCATGTCAATACTAGTGTGCTAACGGTCCCCCGTTTCTTCATCTCTTCTGTTGTGTGCTTCTACCACTCCTCTTTTCCCTCTGCGGTTGTGTTTCTGCCCTTAACAGCCCGATTCTTCACCAGCATACAAGAGAGAGCGCCTTTCAGCAGTAAGTTTTGAGTCTGTTAGTTTAGGGGCGCCTTAAGAGAGAGCGCCAGTCCGCAGTGGGCTGCCCCTCTCCCTTCATTGGCACATGCAGTTGGAAGCTTTGTCTTCCTCCTTTCCGCTTGTCTCCACGCGGTGCTGATATGAGGCATGGCTGGCTTTATGGCTGTTAAGATGTTCTCTTGGGAACCACCTGCCTAACTTGACTGACTGTTGGGCTGTCTGGCTGTCTCCCTTACGCTTCTCACAGTGGTGATAGCAAGCACGGCTGGCTTCATGGCTCACGGGGTGCTGCTTGCTCAGATCCTCGCTTACAGCAAGCCAGCAATTCAAGCAACGCAGCAAACAGCAGCAGATACCAAGCAAGCAGCACTGCCAGGCATACCCGCATCGGGCCTCCCTCCTCCTACCGCATCGGAGTAAATTCCTTGACCGTGCATACCATATGGCATCCATTGTCAGTACTAGAGTGCAAATGCGGCAGCACCGAGCAGGCAGCCTTGGCGCTTTCCAGCATCGGGCCTCCCTCCTCCTACCGCATCGGAGTAAATCAGTTGACCATGCACATCGTATCACATGCACTGAAAGCACTAGAAGGCAAATGCATCTATGGGAGTTCCATGAATGCTCTCTATATGAAGTTGTGTAACGTAATAAGTCTGTAAATATCTTTGTTTATGATTTTTCCAGTGTACTAAGCTTTCCTACCCCTAGCAACGAGATTACTAGTTAGGTCCCTCTCCCCTGACACTGGCGCTTTATGTGGACTAATGTTGGCCAATAACGGGGATGGAAAGCCACGTCAATATCTAGGTCCATTCCATTTCCATTCCCAATTCTCATTATTGACCAGTCAGTCTGTCCCTGACCACAATCCATCCGAGAGGAAATGGAATCCTTCAACCACCAAGCAGCGCTTTCCGCCTGCTCCGCTCCGCCAGCTTCCGCTTCCCTTCCCCTAGCCGCTCCGCGTGCGCGTCTCCCCGCGCTTTTCCGCGTTTCCCGAGTCCCTCCGCGCCATCTAGCGCGGATAATCGCTCGTGGGAGTCATCATAAGTTGCTCGCGCGTTTTCCGCTGCTCTCCTCTTCCCGCACTCCCCGCGCTCTTTCCGCGCCGTCCTCTCCGCTCCGCGCTGCCCGCGCGCCGGAAATCAGGCGCGCGCGCCGAAGGGAAGCATCAGTGCGGGCGGAAGCAGTGATCGACGGTGGCGATTCGGTGGGAGATGGCGCGTCGGTGGAACGAACGGCTGCGATCGCGCGTCCCGCGATCAGGAAAATGGAGGCCGGGAGGCGGGGCGCGAACGGAGCGCGGAGAGGAATCTGGAGGAGAGAAGGAGGGCAGGGGCGTCAGGGGAGGTCTTCTGGTACAGGCGCAAGGATGAGGAAGGGGGCGGAAGGGGAAGGGGTAGCAGGGGCAGATGCAGGGGGCGAAGGGGTAGCAGGGGCAGATGCAGGGGGCGAAGGGGTAGCAGGGGCAGGGGCAGATGTCAACGGGACAAGTGCTCTTTCTTCGCCTGACTCTCTCACAAGTGACGCCAGAAGCTTCCGAGATGTTGCCGCCTACTGTGTCAGTTGCTTCTTCCCTTATCCTGCTCTACTCACCTCCTCTCACTCCCTCCTTTCACTCTTTCCACTCACTCCCTCCCTTCACTCTTTCCTCTCACTCCCTCCCTTCACTCTTCCTCTCACTCCCTCCCTTCACTCTTTCCTCTCACTCCCTCCTTTCACTCTTTCCTCTCACTCCCTCCCCTCACTCTGGTCCAGAGCTCTCTTTCTCCTCCCAGGCCCTTCACTATTTCCCTTCCACCCTCTCCTCGCCTCGTACCTCCTTTATTCACAGAACCACCACCTTCATATCCTCACCATTCTTACTTCCATTCCATTCCATTCACCCCCGCGCTATTTCGCATCCTCATTCCGCCCCTCCTTGTTTCCATCTCTATCACCAATCCCTGCTGCTCACTCTCTCCCCCACCGCGTGGGACGAAGCTATCTTTTGATTTGAGTCATCTCAATAATCTATCCCTTGCGTTTTTCCACCTCTATCACCTCTGGCAGGTGGAAACAGTGCTGCTCACTCTCTCTCCCCACCGCCACATACGCCAGAAGCAGCAGCAGAAGCAGCAGCAAGAGCGGATGAAGGACGGACGGTTGAACATAAGAACGCTTGCGGACTGGCTAAAGAGCGATCACAGGCACTTTCATGCCGTGGTGAAGGTGGGTGGGTTGGGTACACTGAAGTGCCACCACAGGCACTGGCACTGGCACTGACACTGGCTGGCACTGACACTGGCTGGCACTGACACTGGCTGGCACTGACACTGGCTGGCACTGACACTGGCTGGCACTGACACTGGCTGGCACTGACACTGGCTGGCACTGACACTGGTTGGCACTGACACTGGCTGGCACTGACACTGGCTGGCACTGACACTGGCTGGCACTGACACTGGCTGGAACTGACACTGGCACTGACACTGGCTGGCACTGACACTGGCTGGCACTGACACTGGCTGGCACTGACACTGGCTGGCAGGCTCTGACACTGGCTGGCACTGACACTGGCTGGCACTGACACTGGCTGGCACTGACACTGGCTGGCACTGACACTGGCTGGCACTGACACCGGCTGGCACTGACACTGGCTGGCACTGACACTGGCTGGCACTGACACTGGCTGGCACTGACACTGGCTGGCACTGACACTGGCTGGCACTGACACTGGCTGGCACTGACACTGGCTGGCACTGACACTGGCTGGCACTGACACTGGCTGGCACTGACACTGGCTGGCACTGACACTGGCTGGCACTGACACTGGCTGGCACTGACACTGGCTGGCACTGACACTGGCTGGCACTGACACTGGCTGGCACTGACACTGGCTGGCACTGACACTGGCTGGCACTGACACTGGCTGGCACTGACACTGGCTGGCACTGACACTGGCTGGCACTGACACTGGCTGGCACTAACACTGGCTGGCACTGACACTGGCTGGCACTGACACTGGCTGGCACTGACACTGGCTGGCACTGACACTGGCTGGCACTGACACTGGCTGGCACTGACACTGGCTCTGGCTCTTAAAACAACACCTCACCTGAGCACTTGCTAAGAATTGACCACAACAAGCATTCCCACGCTGTGGTGAAGGTGCGTGGTTAGTGGGAGAGCAAGAAGGAACCTGCTTTTTGAACCTTTCTGCCTCTCGGCCTCTCCCAGATGAATTACAAGAACCCAGCCCGTCCTGCCATCTCCCTCTGTCTCTCCCTTTTTTCCACTTCCCTGAACCAAGGGTTTGTCTCGTTATCGAAATAAACAGGCAGTCGCCGAATTGATGGAAGCAAGGCCTCCGCAACCCACCTGTCCTTCACTAAAGGTTCATGCCGTCTCCTTTTTTTCTCCGTTTCCTGCCACGATTATACAGAGGTTAGGAGTGATTGGCCAGGGAGAAGCAGCGTGGAAGCTTCTCCAATGCCTAGAAAACGACACGTGGGAAGCTGAAGCAGCGGCGGCAAAAAGAGCGACAGAAGGAGCGACAGCCGATGCAGCAGCAAAGGCAAGAAACGCTGGTGGTAGCAGTAGCAGCAGTGATTGTAGCAGCAACAGCAGCAGCAGTGGTAGCAGTAGTAGTAGAAGCAGAGGGGAATTGTGGAGGGGGAGTGTAGCGCATTACACTGACGTCCTGGTAGCATTGGGAAGGCTGGATGGGAGAGGGAAGGGTGCTTTGGAAGGAACAGGCAAGGGTAGGGGAGAGGGGCGAGGGAAGGGTAAGTCAGAGGGGAAAGGGGATGGGAGAAGTGGAGGAGCGAAGAGGCAGGAGAGGCGGACGGATGGAGTGAAAGGGAGTGAGGAGTTGTGCGATTTGCGAGGAGTGGATGGTGCTTTGCTGCTGCTGAGACGGATGGAAGAGGAGGGAGAGGATGGGATAGGGGCTGGTGGGATAAAGGAGCTACATGGGTCTGTTGTCCCCCCTGCTGTTTCCCCTCCTGTTGCTGCCCCCCCTGCTTCTCACCCATCTGCTGCTGCTGCCGGTGCTGCCCCTGCTCCTGTCCCTGCTCCTGACCATGTTGCTGCCTCTACTGCTGCCACTGCTGCTGCTCCTCCTCCTCCACTCCCTGTGCCTGACATAACAGCATACAACGCAGTTCTATTCGCCTTGTGTGAAGCTGGGAGGGTGCAAGAGGCAGAGAGCATGGTGCAGGCACTGCTTGAAAGGGGGAGGGCGTGCGGGGAAGGGGAAGGAGGGGAAGGAAGGGAGCACATGAAACCGGATGTGCTTTGTGAGGAAGGAGAGGCGAACGCGATGCATATAAACGCCACAGATGGAGTGGGGGGAGGAGGGAGGAGTGTGAAACCGGATGTGTATTCATACAGTGTGTTGCTGGGGGCGTATGCAAGGGAGGGTGATTGGAGGAGGGCGGAGGCGGTATGGGGTGACATGGTGGCATGTGGCGTGGAGGGCAGTGACGTGGCTGCATGCAAGGTGACGTGGATAGGTGCAAGGTGACGTGGATAGGTGCAAGGTGACGTGGATAGATGCAAGGTGATGTGGACTGCTTTCAAATGACGTGGATAGATGCATGATGAAGGAAGCCAAGAGCCCACGTATAGATTTGTACACTTTATACAATTTATGAGTTTACTTGTTTTCAGATAGCCATTCATTTTTACCGTATTTCTGTGCGTGTTTTGCAGCTCATATTGGCCTACAAGAACGGAGGGCAGTGGAAGAAAGCTGTTGAATTCCTTGACTCATTTGACTGGCAGCTGGACAGTAGCAATGGCAGCAACAGCAGCAGTGGTAGCAACAGCAGCGCCATAAGCAAGGAAAAGGGGAGACCTGGGGAAAAGGACGAGTGGCTGGATGTTGCTGCAGAAGAGGGTAAAGATGAGGAGGAGGGTAAAGATGAGGAGGAGGGTTATGGTGGCGGCAATGACAAAAGGCAGCCATTCGTTGACCCCACCATTCAGAAGGGGCGTGAAGGGCAAGAGGAGCGTGAAGGGCGTGAGGGGTGTGAGGGGCGGGAGGGGCGTGATGGAACGTCCAGTGGCAGTGCATTGGAATTTGCAAGTGTGACGGCAATGCGGGCTGCAGCAACAGGCAGGGCGCCGTGGGCCGTGGTGAAAAGGGTGTTCTGTGGCTTGTGTGACAAGATGGGCGCGCATAGAGTGTCGGTGAGTGGGTGTGATGGGTGGGGTTGATGGGTGGGGGTGATGGGTGGGGGTGATGGGTGGGGGTGATGGGTGGGGGGGAGGCAAGAGAAAGAGAGCCTCCACGTCTTACGTCTACCGCAACCTCTGCCCCCCCTCTCACATTCTCCTCTGCCCCCCCTCTCACATTCTCCTCTGCCCCCCCTCTCACATTCTCCTCTTCCTCCCCTCCCTCCTCAACTCCCCCGCGTCTTTCCTACTGTCCCTCTCGCCCCCATTGTCACCGGCAGGTCAAAGCATTCAACGAGTATCTCCACGTCTGCCAGCTGGCGCTGCCGCCCACAGCCGCCCTCCCTGAGATGATTGCCGGGCTCCGGTGGATAGCACAGGCCGGCACTGTTGATGATGATGGTGATAATAACGGTGGCACTGTTCATGGTGGTGCGCCGCACATACTGCCGGACGCCGCCACCCTCAACACGCTGATGCCGGCAATGAGACGAGCCAGCCGGGCGGCAGCAGGGCTTCTGTTGTATGAGTTGCTGGTGGGGGGAGGGGAGGACAGAAAGAAAGACGGGGATTCGTTGGCAGGGGGAAAAGAGGATAAAAGGGAAGGTGAGGAGTTGTTGGAAAAGGGAGAGGTGGATGGGAAGGAAGGGAGGGGAGGGGAGAGGGAGGGGAGGGAGAGTGGTGGGTTGACTTTGTCAGACTGGGCTGAATTCGGGCTAACAGGCAGGATGCAGGTGCTGGAGAGACAGCTTCGAGGGATGGAAGAGAGGAAGGAGATGAGGGAGCGGAGGGAGGGGAAGGAGAATGGGGAGAAGAGGGAGAGGAGGGGAGGGAAGGAAGGAAAGCAGGCTCGCATGGGGAGCGAGGAGGAGGGGGAGAGGGGAGTGAGAGAGCTGCTAGGCTTGCTGGAAGCAGCTCGAGGGGTGAATTGTGAGTCAGTGCGAAAGGATCGAACGAATACGGCTCAAGGAGGTGCTTATAACGGGGCTCTGTTGGAAGGCGTCGACTGGCAAATGAAGGTGCTGGTGGAGCCGGAATGTGTGACTGTAACGGAAGTAATTCTAGCAAAGGTGGCGCTAGGGAATGATGACGAAGCGTTGGAGGTGTTTTGGGAGGCTGTGGGGGGGAGGGAGGGGCGGATGGGTGGAGGAGGAGGGGGAAGGGGAAGCAGGCGCAAGAAGGGAGGCAGGGTTGATTCACCCAAAGTTACTTGTCAGTCAACACAATCGCAGTCAACTCAGTCAACTCGGTCAACTCGGTCATCGCCTTCCCAGTCAACTCAGTCAACCAGGAGGTTACTCAAAGCGGACGCACACATGTGCAGCGCTGCTCTGAGTGCGTGCCGGCGACGAGGGCTGTGGTGGGAGGCTGACAACGTGTGGGCACTTATGGAACGACGCGGGTGAGTTGGGTTGGGGGGATCGAGTGGGGGCGAGGGGGGGTGAGTGCATGCAGGCAGAGGGGGCTGTGGTGGGGAGCTGACGCTGTGCGGGGGCGCTGATGGAACGACAAGGTTGAGTTGGGGGGGATGGGGGCTGAGGGGGTGGAGGGAGGGTCAAAGCAAACCAAGAGGGCAGTGAAAGCGGATGCACACATGTGCAGCGCTGCTCTCTGAGTGTGCGCCGGCAGAGGGGCTGTGGTGGGAGGCTGACAACGTGTGGGCTTTCATGGAAAGAAGAGGGTGAGTTGGGTGGATGAGGTGGGGGATGGGGGATGAGAAGGGCGACAGGAGAGAGGAGAGGCGCAGGTGAGAGGAGAGGCGCAGGTGAGAGGAGAGGCGCAGGTGAGAGGAGAGGCGCAGGTGAGAGGAGAGGCGCAGGTGAGAGGAGAGGCGCAGGTGAGTTGGGGGGTTTAAGAGGGAGAGGTACAGAGTGCAAGTTGAAGGAATTTCAGACCATACCAGTTCAGAGCACTGAATGTCATGCCATCCCTGCCACCACTTGTTCCACCATACCTCTCCCCCACCTCGGCGTTTCTTACACCCCCCTGTTATCACCCCTCCTGCTCTCTCTCCTAGCATCCGCCCCACACCGGCGGTCCTGACAGGCCTGGTGGCAGTGATGGCACGGGCAGGGAGGAGCAAGCGGGCAGAGCAAGTGGTACAGAGTGCACAGGCAGCAGGAGTAACGCTGCAGCAGCAGACAGCCAACGCTCTGCTGGACGCCCTGGCGTCCTCAGGGGATGTGCGCCTCTCATGTGTGCGCTGCTCATGCTCCCCTCCCCTGCTCTCCCCGCACCCCCTTCCCTCTCTCCCCGCGCCCCCTTCTCTCTCTACCAGCATCCGCCCCACACCAGCGTGCCTGACAGGCCTGGTGGCAGTGATGGCACGGGCAACAGCAGACAGCCAATGGTATCCCTCTCATGCTCCCCCTCCCTTGCTTTCCCCCCAACCCCTCTCTACCAGCATCCGCCCAACACCAGCGTGCCTGACAGGCCTGGTGGCAGTGATGGCACGGGCGGGGAGGAGAGAGCGGGCAGAGCAAGTGACAGAGCGTGCAGTGGCATCCGGAATTGTGCTGCAGCAGCAGACAGCCAACGCTCTCCTGGACGCTCTGGCGTCCACAGGGGATGTGCGCCGCACTGCTGCTCTCTTCTCCCGCCTCTTCCTACCTCCCTTCCCCTCCTCTCCCTCTCCTACTGCGCGAGGCAAGGGGCGGCTGAAGGCCGGCCTGCAGGCGGACACGTTTTCCTTCAACGCTCTGCTGAAAGCCCATGCCAGACGACTGCAGGCGGTGGGATCGGGGCAATCAGTGCAGATGATGCAGTCAGTGCAGTCTATGGTGCTGCTGGGCGCCCCAAGGGACAGAAGAGTAGAGACTGGACCCGGAAGCAGCAAGGGGGACATAAAGGATAGAAGCAGTGCTAACAGCACTGATGGCAGCAGCGAAACTGGCAGCAGGAGCAGCTGCAGCAGCAGCAGCAATGGCAGGGCGAAGAAGGCAGGTTCTCCTGGGGGAGGTGTGGTGCTCACCCTCTATCCCCTGCGCAGGCCCAGCCCCCGAACCTCCAGCCAAGGTTCGGAAACAGAGTCTGGTTCGAAAATCAGCCCTCCCATTCTGGACCCAAGTTCAGACACCGTCAGCATGGCCATGAGTTCGGTTTCAGGTTCGGATTCAGGTCCAGACTTGGAGGCTGCTGCTGCAGGTTTGGAGGCCGCAGGTTCAGAGGCCGTCATCTTAGGCTCGGAGGCTGCAGGTTCGGAGGCCGTTACATTAGGCTCGGGGGCTGCAGGTCTGGAGGCCGTTCGATCAGGATCGAAGTTAGCATCTATGGAGGGATACGGTTGGAAGAAGGGGGGATTCAGCAATATGAATTCAAGCCCCTTGAACGAACAGCAAGGAAGGGTGGTTTCGGGCAGTGCCACTGAGGGCAGTGCCACTGAGGGCAGTGCCACTGAGGGAATGTGGAGTGGGAGTGATAAGAACGGGTGGGCAGTGCAAGGCCCGGTGGAGGTGTTTGGAGCGATGCAGAGGATGCAAGTTCCTATCGACGAATTCACCATCTCGGTAAGCCGTGGTGTGCATGTGTCTATGAGGGCAAGGCAGGTAGTGTAGTGACCATACCGGGTGGGCAGTGCAGGGCCGTTTGGAGGTGTTTGGAGCGATGCAGAGGATGGGGATTCTTATTGACGAGTACACCATCTCGGTGAGCCGTGGTGTGCATGTGTCTGTTAGGCATTGTGGGTACTTTGGCAGTTGCAGTTACCATGGACGAGTGCGCCATCTCGGTGAGCCGTGGTGTGCATGTGTCTGTTAGTTGTGGTTGATGCATTGGGCATCAGGAAGGCATACCAACTCTTGCTTTGACGTCATGCCATTCCATGCCGTGCCCTGGCATGCCTTGCCATTTCATGCCATGCCTTGCCATTTCATGCCATGCCTTGCCATTTCATGCCATGCCTTGCCATTTCATGCCATGCCTTGCCATTTCATGCCATGCCTTGCCATTTCATGCCATGCCTTGCCATTTCATGCCATGCCTTGCCATTTCATGCCATGCCTTGCCATTTCATGCCATGCCTTGCCATTTCATGCCATGCCTTGCCATTTCATGCCATGCCTTGCCATTTCATGCCATGCCTTGCCATTTCATGCCATGCCTTGCCATTTCATGCCATGCCTTGCCATTTCATGCCATGCCTTGCCATTTCATGCCATGCCTTGCCATTTCATTCCATGCCTTGCCATTTCATGCTATGCCTTGCCATTTCATGCCATGCCTTGCCATTTCATGCCATGCCTTGCCATTTCATGCCATGCCTTGCCATTTCATGCCATGCCTTGCCATTTCATGCCATGCCTTGCCATTTCATGCCATGCCTTGCCATTTCATGCCATGCCTTGCCATTTCATGCCATGCCTTGCCATTTCATGCCATGCCTTGCCATTTCATGCCATGCCTTGCCATTTCATGCCATGCCTTGCTATTTCATTCCATGCCTTGCCATTTCATGCCATGCCTTGTCATTTCATGCCATGCCTTGCCATTTCATTCCATGCCTTGCCATTTCATGCCATGCCTTGCCATTTCATGCCATGCCTTGCCATTTCATGCCATGCCTTGCCATTTCATGCCATGCCTTGCCATTTCATGCCATGCCTTGCCATTTCATGCCATGCCTTGCCATTTCATGCCATGCCTTGCCATTTCATGCCATGCCTTGCCATTTCATGCCATGCCTTGCCATTTCATGCCATGCCTTGCCATTTCATGCCATGCCTTGCCATTTCATGCCATGCCTTGCCATTTCATGCCATGCCTTGCCATTTCATGCCAGGCCTTGCCATGTCATGCCATGCCTTGCCATTTCATGCCATGCCTTGCCATTTCATGCCATGCCTTGCCATTTCAAGCCATGCCCTGCCATGCCATGCCATGTCATACCATGCTATACCAATCATTTTGACACATCTCTCTCACCATTCGTGCATGGGTCACTCCTTTCTCACTCCCGTCCACCCCTCCACAATCTTCCCCACACCTAAACCTCCCTCCCAACCCCCACTCCCCCCCCAGCTATACGCACCCTCACTCGAAGCACTGAGGGATGCTGACGAGGCATCATCCCTCCTCAATACAATCACATCTCACGGCTATCACAGCAGCCGATTCTTCCCCCTCTGGTGCTCCCACATCGTGGGGGCATGTGTGGGGCGCGGGGGAGAGGGGGAGGTGGGGAGGGAGGACGTGCGGAGGGGCATGGATGTGTATGGGAGGATTAGGAGGATAGAGAGGGAGGAGGATGGGGCATTGGAGAAAGTAATATGGACTCTGCTGCGAGCTTGTGAGGTAAGCGGGGGTGAAAAAAATGGCTTTCGACAGACATAGGGAGTAGGATAGGAGGAGAATGGGGCAGGGGAGAGCTAAGGGGTGTGGGGAAGGAAAGAGGGTTTGGGTGAGGAAGAAAGCGAGAGGAAGAGTAGACGGTTTGAAGAACTGGGTTGAGCAGAATGTGTGATGCTTGCAGGATATATCGTGGGTGCACACAATCATCTTTTTATTCTGTGTGTGCGCATTTTTGTGTGTTGGTGTGTGCTGTTCCATTGCAGGAGGTGGGTCTGTGGCAAGAAGCGAAGCAGCTGCTAGAGGACTACCGGTCCCTCAGGCAGGCCCTGCAGGCCAAAACGTCTGCTGTATCTGATGAGACGCAGAAAAGGGAAGACGCTCGCACGGCAGCAGATTTGGGTGTAGCAGCAGGAGCAGCCGGAGCAGGAGCAGAAACAACAGCAGCAAAAGCAGCAGCGGCAGACTCGTCACCAGCAGAAACCACATCATCACCAGAAGCAGCGGCAGCAGCGGCAGCGGGAGCGGCAGCAGAAGCAGCTAAAATAGCAGCAGCAGAGGCGCCCATAGAGGCATACCACATGGCCATGGCTGCCTGTGATGCTGCTGGTGAGCCGTTAGAAGCCCTGCAAGTGTATCGGGATATGCTGGCCCGGGGGCTTGTACCCTCTATGAGCACATTCGCTGTTATCATGCGTGCTCTGCAGAGGGGAGGGCTGTGGGTTAAGGCGATGGAAATTTTACAGACAATACCGAAGGGTATGAAGGGAGGGATGATGGATGGGCGGGAGGGTTGAGGATATTATTTTTTTTGGAATGAATGATTCAACGTGCATCACATTGCTTTTGGACCTGGGGGAATACCATAATTCCCTGATTCAACTTGCATTCCACAGATATTTGTGAGTTGATTGATACGATGCGACCAAGTTGATACTATCGGTTGTCATTTGAAGTTATGTCCCTTCAAACAAAATAGACACCTTGTTGGTTGATGGTAAGGCACAGAAAATCTGAATGATGAAGAGAAATACGCAGTGTAGGCTAGCCAGTTCCTAGGTAATTAGCATACGATCTCTTTTCTTGCATATCATGTCGTGGCACCAAACTTCAGAGACAATATTTTCATGGAAACATGTACAAAACCGGAGCCAGCAGTACGGCGAACACCGGAGATCACAAGAAATTCCACTGTTATTTCATGGTGCCTGCAGAACTACATCCTTGGTAACTCCCTAAGACAGACAAAATCACCTTTTAGCGCGGCTCGAGCCAAGGCGAAAGCGCAGCAGCGTGCCATTATCCCGTATGTCTACCATTGCCCCCACGCCTAGCCTCGATCCACGCGCTGCTTTTACTGATTCTACCGTTTCACGCGATGCTCGGGTGTTTATTCCCCGTGACGCACCGCTGACGTGGAACCTCGATGACGCGGCAGCAATCGGTTGGTCAGACGGTGCGATGCCGCTGGTAGGTGAACGGTTCTTGACGGAAAAGCCTTGACGAAATCTTTTGACGCAGAAAACCTGGCGAAGAAACATGATAATATGATTTGACGTTTTTATTTTTAACTTGTCTGTGCTTCTATCTTCTGTGCTGCCAATGCTGCCATTGTTTCCAGTGCTGCCGGCCAGCTTTTACGGATGTGTGCTTTCTACTGTACGTTAATCTGTGTCCATCCATACATGAATGCGTATCCATCTATGCACATGCATGAGTGTCTATCCATCCATGCACATGCATGAATGCACAATTCCCAGGTGAGCATCATCATGCCTTTTGAGACGTCTCAATATTCAAATCACTTTCCCGTGCATCTCCCAGGTCAGCATCATCATGCCGATTCACAATGCAGCGCCATTCCTGCAAGAAGCAATCGACTCCATCCATGCACAGGTGCGCATTCCATGGTGCCATTGTGCCATCATGCGCGTCGTAGGCATATCACTGACTCCTGCCAACCATCATACCATCATGCCATTATACCATCGTGCCGTCGTGCTTGTGGTAACCCATGTGCATGCAGAGTTACCCAGGGCCCATGGAGATTCACGTCTTTGACGATGGGCCGAGTATGTTTGAGTCGGCGCAAAAGTCATCTCACGCTACTGTTCCCTCAACGCATGCATGTAACCCGTGTGCATGCAGAGTTACCAAGGGCTCATGGAGCTTCTGGTCTCTGACAACGGCCCGAGCACTTCTAAGTCAGCTCAAAATTATTTCTTCCACCGTCCCCTCACTGAGTGGGGTGGTTTCCCGTGTGTGTGCTGCAGACTTACCAAGGCCCCATGGAGCTTCTAGTCTTTGACGACGGCCCGAGCAACGACCAATCACGGGCCATCCTTGAGGCAAATCGCTCCGTGCTTGCCGCCCGAGGCATCGCCCTGAAGATCGTCGACGAGCGGACAGATGCTGCCGCCCGGAAGGAGCGGAAAGACGCTGCCGCCCGGAGCGAGTGGTCAGATGCTGCTGTGCTAACGGAGAAGACACATGCTGCCGCCCTTGAAATCTGTTATCGTAGTAAAGATGGCTTGGGGAATGGTAGACAGACCGACAGCGGGAGTTTTGGGGACAATGGTGGCTGTGGGGGAGTTGGTGATAATAACAGGAATGGAGGTGATGAAGGGGTTGGTGGCTCGTCAAGAGGAATCCCTGAAGCCAGTCGTATTCCTGACAGCAGAAGCAACGCAGACGGTTCCAGTGAGAGGGGGCAACAAAGGACCCAGCCGAGGGGGTGTGGGTTCGGGCGCAACCGAGCCATCGAGCACAGCCGGGGCGGGTTCCTGTGCTTTGCTGATGGGGTGAGAGGCGCAGGTAGGGGCGTGGTGCAAGGGGCGAGGGGCGTGAGGCGTGAGGCGTGGGGCATGGGGCATGGGGCATGAGGTACATGCACATCACACATTGTCGTACACATTTATGCTTTTTGGTAACACAGCCAATTATTAATGAACTCTGCGCCACCTTAAGACTTCTACACCCCTTTCCATGCCTTTTACCCTTCATACGCGTTATAACCTTCAGGATGACGTCATGGCTCCAGACCGCATCTCCCTACAGCTTGCTCTCGCCTCTCAAAGCCGCAAGCTATTGGTGAGTCGTGATGCTGTGTTGTGTCGTCATCCCGAAGGGCCGACAGCATGCAAGGTCTAGTCTCAGTCTTTCGGGTGCCTCATTAGCAGCTTGCTCTCGCCTCTCGAAGCCACAAGCTATTGGTGAGACAAAGCCTTCCCTTCTCAAAAAATAATAATAATAAAAAAGCAATAGACAAACTTTGCATGTGAGCAGCAGCAGCGTGACAGCACGCATTCAATCAATGCCCCTCGCTCTTCTTTTCTCAGTTCATCCCAATGCAGCGCCTTGCCTTGCTCCCCTACCTCGCCTTCCCACATCCCTCCAGGTGGGTTCTAATTTCGTTCGTCTGCCAGCTGACACCACGCCGAGACTCACAGCATGGCCCACCTCCCTCTCCCACCCACAGCACCTGTATCTGCAGCAGCAGTAGCAGAGGCTAGCAGGCAAACCCATCTGTGCTCGTTGGCTTGCCCTGTTCCATCCATCCAGGTGGGTTCTAACTTCGTTCGTCTGCCAGCGGACGCCACGCCGAGGCTCACAGCGTGGGTTAACTCTCTTTCCCACCCACAGCTGTACCTGCAGCAGCTGGTGGAAACCACCCTCATCGCGCCCACCTGGTTCTGCTCCCGACAAGTCTTCGACTCCTCAGGCATGTTGCATGTACTAGTGACTGTTCTTTCCTTCGCTTCGTACACAGCTTCAGCTCACTCAACAGCTGTACCTGCAGCAGCTGGTGGAGACCACCCTCATCGCCCCCACCTGGTTCTGCCCCGGACAAGTCTTTGATGCTTCGGGTGCGTACTACTGCTTCTTCTTTCCTTTGCATCGCACCTAGCTTCAGAATGCCTCTCTTGCAGCAGCCGGTCCAGCAGGTCCCTTCTATGGCAGTGGGCAGGGCACACCAGCCGATTTTCGAGACGTCCCAGAGCCTCCTCTTGCCTCTTCCCCTTGCCCTTCCACGGTCCACCAGGTCCCTTTGATGAGAGCGGGCAAGGCACACCAGACGACCTCATGTTCTTCTACCAGCACTTGGGCAACGGGGGCTGGCTGGGCAAGGTGAGCGTGAGCACAGGTGCGGGGCGCTCCTCTTGCCTCTGTCCCGGCCCCTCTTGCCTCTGTCCCGGCCCCTCTTGCCTCTGTCCCGGCCCCTCTTGCCTCTGTCCCGGCCCCTCTTGCCTCTGCATGGTCCACCAGGTCCGTTTGATGAGAGCGGGTCCGGCACACCCGATGACCTCATGCTCTTTCATCAGCACCTGAGCAACGGGGGTTTCCTGGGCAAGGTCAGCGTGAGTGAGGGGGGTTTGCTTGAATTGTGACACCCCTAGGTACTATGAGTTCTGCGAGGTTCTCCAGGCTGACTTTTGAGTCGACTCATAAGTCAGCATGAGGGGGGTTTGCTTGGATTGTGACACCCCTAGGTACTACGAGTCCTGCGAGGTTCTCCAGGTCCCTTGGATGAGAGCGGCCGGGCACACCAGGCGGGAAAAAAAAAACTGGTCCCGCCAGATGGCTGTCATTAGAGTGGCCGGGCACACCAGGCGGCCTCATGTTCTTCCACCAGCACTTGCGCAACGGGGGCTGGCTGGGCAAGGTGAGGACGGGGGGGTGAAAGGGGGTAGGAGAAGGGGGGGAAACGGCAGGGAGAGAAGGAACTGGTCCCATTAGATTGCTCTCATTAGAGCGGCCGGGCACACCAGGCGACCTCGTGTTCTTTCACCAGCACATGCGCAACAAGGGCTGCCTGGGCAAGGTGGGCATGAGCACAGGTGCGGGGCGCTCCTGTTGCCTCTGCCCTCTTGCCTCTGCACGGTCCGTCAGGACCCTTTGATGAGAGCGGGCCCGGCACACCAGGCGGCCTCGTGTTCTTTCACCAGCACATGCGCAACAAGGGCTGCCTGGGCAAGATGGGCATCACCATTCGTCTTGCATGCAAGGGTGAGGTTGCTCTGGGTTCTCTCGCTGATTGTTCATCCACTAGCCATGTCACGAAACAGCAACCACACTCTATACTGTGCTAAAGGTACTGCTCTATACTGAGTTGCTTCGCCTGTCCTGTGTTGTGTCACGTCCCCTTGCAGGTGCCTCAGTCTCTAGTCACATATTGCTTCCACACGGCATCTGTGACAGGCTCACGAGGCTGCCCCTGGGAGAGCATCTGAAAGCATCTTGTCAAGAATTGCCTGGTGTTCTTCTAATTGTGCTGCTTCCCCTTGCAGGCGCCTCAGCCGCTAGTGACGTATCGCTTCCACACGGCATCAGTGACAGGCTCGTGAGGCTGCCCCTGGGAGAGCATCTGAAAGCATCTTGTCAAGAATACTGTGCTAATCTGCTCCCACTCTGTTGTGCTGCTTCCCCCCTGCAGGTACCGCAGCCTCTAGTCACGTATCGCTTCCACTCGGCATCAGTGACGGGCTCGCGAGGCTGCCCTTGGGAGAGCATCTGGGAGCAGCGAGTTAACCAGCTTGAAGCACGGCTACTCTCAGGGTATGACGACTTTGACTCTCGCTCGAGTATTGAGATGTCTTAGGGCGCAAGAGATGTGCTTCATGTGGGATATTAATATTTGCTTCTTACGCCCATCCTTCTTGCTCGCTTCGTTTTGGCCATCATAGTGTTTTGCGTGCCTCGAACAATGTATGGTAACATACGCACTGGCATTCACGCTTTGAGTCGGCTAAAAAAACACACGCATTTTGAACTTCAAACCAGATGTTTCGAGGCCCAGCGCACCACTCTGTCTTCTTGTTTTTAGCGAGTTGACTTTTGAGTCGACTCAAAAGTCAATCAGCTCTGCACTCTGTCCTCTTGTTTTTTAACACAAATCTTTGCAGGCCTAACAGCTCCTGCTGGTCAGAATTCACAATTTGGAATGCTGGCAAAGAGGGCAGGAGACTCTACCGCTCTCTCTCCCCATCGAACCAAGCCAAGGTACTGCATAAGTTATGCAGCATAACAAACCTTAGCCATGACATCATTAAGTCGACTCAGAAGTCACACATCATGGCAAAATCCCGCATTTTCCTCTCTGTAAGGCACTACGTATGAGTCCTGAGGGTGGCTGCTTGTTGTCTTCACCTGCTGCAGGTGATTGCCTTTTGTGATGTGGATGAGAAGAAGATAACTAGAGGAGTGTACACACACCATGAGTCAGGACGAGCAGTGCCGGTGATCCATTGGTCTGCAGCCAGGCCACCGCTGCTGCTGTGTGTGAAAAGAGGGCTTACCGGCGGTGCGTTTGAGGAGATAATAGATTCTCTGAACATGGAAGAAGGATTGGATTATGTTTATTTTTCATAATGCCATGTCACTAAGCATTTAGCCCATTCCAGTGCAATTTCCCTTTCACCAACTAGTGGATAAATGAAGTTCTGCTCCAGTTGCTTTGCCTTGCAGAATCATGCAAACGTGACCATACATACAGTACAATATGCACCTAAATAACAATGCCAGTACTGTATAAACATCATCCTAACAAGAACTCCTGCCGTAACATAAACCTCAAATTTTACAAACTGACAGATCATAAGAGTAGAGAGCATAACAGTACACCAGCTCGCCACAGCATTCTAAGCTGAGCAACACCCCCCCTTGTTGGCGTTAGCATCTGCTCCCACCAGAATGGAAGTGCCTTCTCCGGGCCCTGCAGTCGCACCCTCTTCTTGCGCCAGAGCCTTCTTGCTCACAATGCGGTAGATCTCTGTTAGCACTCGGTGAAATGCGTTCTCTACGTTTGTTGAATCCAGTGCCGATGTCTCGATGAACGAAAGGCCTTCCTTCTCTGGAGATTGTGTGAGAAAGGGGATGAAGGGGAGGGGAAGAAAGGGACGGGGTGTAAGAAACTGCACAGCCAGGTAGATATCTGTCAACACCCACTGTGCAGTCTCCACATTTGTTGCTGCCAGCGCTGATGTCTTGATGAGCAAAAGGCCTTCCTTCCTGTAAAGCAGATGAAGAAAGGGGTTTTAAATACTGCACATTGCACAACCGACTAGGTACCTGTCAGCACCAAGTGAAATGCGTTCTCCAAATTCGTTGAATGTAGAGACAATGAGAGGCCTTCCCTACCAGGGATCACTTCAAATACGGGGATGAAGAAAAGGGGGTGTTGGGTACTGCACACTACACATCCGTGTCAGCACATGAATTGACAAAACAGCTTTTGAGTTCCAGTTACGGAATACAAGAAGCCTGTACCATGGTTTTGATTTTGTACCAAGGAAATGTCATGTACGAGTCAATGGGCGTCTGTGGTGCCTGCATATGCACTGAAAGGGTGCTGCTGCGTGTGAAGGTGCAGTATGTGTAGGGATGCGTGTCTGTTGGGTGTCTGTGTGCAAGTGTGAGTGTATGTGTGTGCGTGTGTCTCGTTGTGTTTCTGGGGAGTGTACGTGTTTGTGTGTGCGAGCGCGGGATTGTGTGTGCGTATGGTGGAGAGCACGAGAGAGGGTGACAAGGGAGGGAGAGAGAGGGTGCGAGACAGAGTGTGCTAGAGAGGGGAAAGACCGCGTGCAAGCAAGTCCTCGGGCATTACCAGTCAAGATTGTGTGTAGATGCCTCACTTTTTACTCGATCCAACCAGAATAATCGCAATGTCATAAAGTATTTGCGAGAGAGAGACCACCTACCATGTTTCCTTAAGCGTCGGCGGTGGAAAAAGCGCGTGAATGCCTCAAATCCAGCTCATTCCACCATACATGATCACAATGCTTGAATCCGATAGAATGATCACAATGCTAGAATTTGCTAAGCGAGAGACCACGTACCAGCGAATCGTTGAGTGTCGTAGGTCGAAACAACACGTAGATGCCTCTTATCCGACTTATGACCAAACAAAATGAAAAAAAATATATATATACACAATGCTAAAATTTGCTAAAAGTGGAATTCGTTAGAAAGACAACCTACCAGCAAATCCTTGAGCGTCGTCGGTCGAAACAGCACGTAGATGCCTCAAATCGGACTTGTTCCCCACCAGCATGATGACAATGTTGGAATCCGCATGATCGCGGAGCTCCTTGAGCCATCTCTCAACGTTCTCGTAAGTCACGTGCTTCGTAATGTCGTAAATAATCAACGCGCCGACCGCTCCCCGGTAGTACGCACTTGTGATGGCACGATACCTCTCTTGGCCAGCGGTATCCCAGATCTGCGCCTTGATCGTCTTGCCATCAACCTGAATGATTCAGGATGGTACGATCAGCAAACACACTAGTAATCCAACGGCTTTAAACATTATTCAGGAATGATATGACTCTGAGAGATGGATGGAGAAAACGGAACAGATGAGCACCATCTCTCTTTGACCTAATACTCACCTGGATACTTCTCGTTGCGAACTCGACGCCGATCGTGGATTTTGATTCTAAACAGAACTCGTTGCGGGTGAATCGAGAAAGAAGATTGGACTTTCCTACGCCGGAATCTCCAATCAGCACGACTTTGAAAAGGTAATCGTACTCGTCATCTGCCTTGTGAGCCATTATTTGCGACCAGAAGAATAAAAGGAAATGGAAGGCCAAGAATGCCCTAGATTCTGCAGAGTGACTTCGCCAAGACTAACAGAAGGCGTCGGGTTCCTGTGGGTATGAAATGGTATTAATCGGCTGGAAACCGCGAAGAATGAGCAACAAGATACGTGAAGATAAGACACAGTAGCACAGGATGCCTCAATGCACCTCTTATGCCTGGCCAAATTCCTGACACATGCAACTGCAACTCTCAGAAACAAAGCATAAAATAGCTTGTCCCAGAGACACGCATACGAAACTAAACAGGTATGGTGTCTGAAGATTTGAGAACACTGGGGAGCGCAGTCAGGCATATTCGGAAGTGCTGGTGTATCAAGGTCTAAAAAGTTCAGCAGCGGTTCAAAGTGGTAAATCCAGTAGCCGAACCAAATTGCACCATAACGCACTCAACCGTTGAGACTGAATAGAAGGCTGTACCTGAAGCAGGCAGGTATGGCAGATATTCAATTTTGCCAGGCTTCTCGGAATTCTCGAGGTCAGTCACTGCCAAAAAGGTCCTCCTGGCACTTCGTTCTGGCGGGAAAGCTGACGTGCAAGGCAGGTTGAGGCGGGGTGCTTCTTGCAGAACTGGAAAAAGCATTTTGTCTTCTCTAACCCTCTGTGTCTTTCGAGAAACCGGGAGCGTCGGCACTTAGTTAAGTTTTTGTCGAGACTTCCCTCAAACCAAAAGCTTCTTGACTCATTGTTCTCGCTGAGGAGTGACTCGACAACCTGCACGATCAAAATGCTTGTTGATAGCACTTACTTTCTCCCACACAACTGAAGGCCAGTAGGAACCTGAGCATCTTTACTTTCTGCTGATTTCGGTCAGGTAGGCGCGACGCCGGTGGACGATCAATTTACGGTTACGGCAGCAGAAGTTTCTGTCTCTTGCTGTTGTTTTTTTCTCTTGCGTGACGATTAAGGGTTGAACATGGCGAGGTTACGAATGACTCCCGTTGCGAGCTTGGCGAAGGATCAGATTGTTCGCGCACGCGTGCCGCGCGTCGGTCCTGCGGATTACTCGTCGAGCGGCGAAGGCGAGGAGAACACCGCGTCGGCTGAAGCTTCGGATCAGAGCATCGATGAGGGCTCCGAGGGAGATGAAACGCATCGAGGAGATGAAACACATAAAGATGACACGTACGTAGACGAGGATAATAGCGGGAACGGCTCGGCAGAAGTAGGAGCGTCGCCATCAGGGCGAGACGACACCGAGTCTATGGAGATTATGCCGCGTAAGAGGAAGAGAAGAGCGGGCGTGACAATAACGGGAACTCCGGAGCGATCTTACGGTGACTATAACGAAGACTCGCCGGAGGCGTACGAAGGGGCTGACGGTGGTCAAGCCCTATTTGTTCCGCGGAAAAGGCAGAGAACGAAGCGGAGCCGAAACGGCGGCGTATCGAACGGCGGAGAAACCATTGGCGGCGGCGGCGGCGGAGGGGGGAGAGAGCGGAGACCGCCTCTTAGGGGAAAAGGGGAACCGGGGAGCCCGGGAAGTCCGGAAGGCGATGTATCGGGGGAAAGCGGAGACGGGGTTGCACATGGGGAGCGGGTTAGGCGGAAGCGTAGACCGAGCGTGAAAGCGGGGGAAGGAGCGGAAGGGAGAGGGGAGAGGGGGGGTGACGGGAGGAGAGAGAGAGGAAGGCAGGGACTGGCTGGTTTGAGGAGGGATAGGAGGGGGAAGAGAAGGGAGGAAGATGGAGATGGGGAGGGGGAGGGGGAGGATTTGGAAGGGAAGGGGAGGAGAAGAGAGACAACGATGGGGGGAGTGGAGAGGGGGCATAGGGTGTTGGCAGGAGAGGAAGGAGGGGATGGTAATAGCGAGGACGCCAATAAGGAGGACAGTGGAGAGCAGGAGCGAGAGGAGGAGAGGGGGAGTGAGGAGGAAGGGAGTGGAGAGTCGAGTGGGGGGGAGCGAGAGAGTGTAGGAGGAAGGGGAGGTGGGGGGCGGGCGCTGGGTAACAGGGAGGGAGGAGAAAGAGAGGAGGAAGAGGATGGGGAGGGTGGAAGGGAGGAGAAATACGTTGAGAAGCGTCGTGGGAAAGGGAATAAGGGGAGACGTGGAGTAGGGGAGAACGCAGAGGGAGAGGAGGAAGAGGAGGAAGAAGAACGCGGAACAAGAGGGAAAGGTGGGAGAGGTGGGAGGGGTGGAAAGGGGTCTAGGGGAGGTAGGGGAGGTGATGGAGAGGCGAAGAGGAGGAGAAGGCGAGGCAAACGGACTGCTGATGCGAGCAATGACGGGGAGGAGGGGATGGAGGGAGAGGGGGTAGGGGGGTCTGTGGTTCGGAAGAGGAGGGGGAGGAGGCCTGCTGCAAGTCCCTTAGAGGGGGGAGAAGGAGGCGTGATACAGTCACCAGCAGCAGCATCGCCTGCCCCAAAGAAGAAGTGAGTGCTTGTTTCCAGTTTTTGAGTCGACCCAGATAGCAGCGAGAGAGAAAGGAGTAGGCCCAATGTTGTCACCACCAGCAGCATCATCGCCGGCCGGCACCGAACATGAAGTGAGTGATTGCTGCTTGTTTTTTTTTTCTTTATATGTATATAGTATATATATTTGCTATATTATAGTATAATCCCCAACGACAAGTTGATTTTCAGTTAGTGACCCGAGGGGTTTTGCTGTCACACCCACTCCCCATAATGTTTCCGCTTTCTCGTTTCCCTCCTGTAACATTCTTACAGCGGCACGCAGTCTCACAGAGAGGGGTGGTGCCCGTACGTTGTGTGTGAGGGAATTCAACGCAAGGCGAGGGTTTTCTCTCATGCCCTCTCTTCCACTCCTCCCGTATCTCTCTGCTTTCAAAATCACAGAGGCACGCATTCCCACAGTAAGGGGTGTCCGTGCGTTTTGTGTGAGGGGTGTCTGTGCGTTTTGTGTGAGGGGATTCGACGGAAAGAGAGACCCTTATCTCATCTCATCCCCTCTCTTCCACTCCTTACCATTAATTCCGCCCGTGTTTCTCTATTATCAAACTCACAGAGGCACGCAGTCTCACAGAGAGGGGTGCCCGTGTGTTGTGTGTGAGGGGATTCGACGGAAAGAGAGACGCACCCTAGAATTTGGGAGGGAAATCTCTAAGAAGGAACTTGACCAGTGGCGGAGGAAGGAGAGGAGGGAGCGGGAGTTGCAAAAGAAGAGGGAGATGGAGGAGGAGAGGAGGAGAGAGGAGGAAGAGGAGAGGGCTAGAGAAGAGGAACGGGAGAGGAGGAGGGAGGAGGAGGAAGAGGAAGAGGACGAGAAGGGCGAACGGGATGAGGAGGGACAGGGGGGCGATGGGGATGGGGTGAGGAGGAGTGAGGGGAGGAGGAGGCGGATGAGAGGGGGAGACGAGGAGGAAGGGGAGCAGGAGGAGAAGAGGAGGAGGAGGGCCAAGGTGGAGGAGGAGAGTGAAGAAGAGGAGAGGGAGGAGGAAGAGAGGGGGGGAAAGGGAGAGAGGAGGAGAAGGAAGGTTAGGGGTTTAAAGCTTATTGAACAAGAGACTAAGAAGGGGGGCGATGGCACCACCGCTCCTTCAGATACGGAAACTGATGGGAGTGAAGGTGCGGATTCAGGGGGAGACGAAAATAGGCGTGCATATGGGGGTGAAGACAGGTATAGGCGTGCGGATGGGGGGGGAGACGGAGAGGGGCGAATAGATGCAGACACGGATTCTGAAGAGACAACTGAGTCGGAGGGAGGGGATAATGAGAGCGAGGATGGGGGTGCGGAGCAGGAGGGGGAGGAGGGTGGGGAGCAGGAGAGGAAGGAGCAGGAGAAAAGGGCCGCGGAAGGTATGTCAGAGCGGAGAGTGAAAGGTCAAAGTAGAGAGCGGGAGGAGGAAGAGAGGGATGATGAAGATGCAGAAAGGGGTGAAGGTGGGGGTTTGGGGAAAGAGAAGGGAGGAGGAGGGAAGGGAGGGGAGGAAAAGAGAGGCTCTGAGCAGCAAGAAGGTGAGAGAGAAGAGGAAGAGGAGGGTGAAACAGAGGAGGGGGAGGAGGAGGAGGAGGAGGAGGAGGAGGAGGAGGAGGAGGAGGAGGAGGAGGAGGAGGAGGAGGAGGAGGAGGAGGAGGAGGAGGAGGAGGAGGAGGATGAGGAGGAGGAGGAGGGTGAAACAGCTGGTGTTGCTGCTGGTGTTACAACTGGTGCCATCGCTGCTGCTACAGCTGCCACCGCACCTGGTGATGATGCAGCTTCTAGTGACGAGGCTACTGAGCTGGATACAGATTCTGATGACGAGGATGGTGCTGAGCTGGCATTGGACGAAGCTGACGACGCAGAACCGGTGATTCTGGACAGTGGGGCTGCTGCTGACGTGTCCACGCCCTCTGTTGAGCTGGCAGGGGAAGGGAGCGGGGAGGATGTGACTGAAATGAGGGATAGAGAAGGGGAGGAAGAGGAAGAGGAGGTTATGGAAGTGAGTGGGAGGAGGAGGAGCACAGACGGTGCGGAGGAGGTGGTGGTGGTGGAAGAGAAGGGGAGGAGGGAGGGAGGAGGTGGGAGAGCAAGGGACAGGCAGGTAGTTGACTTGGAGGGATATGGGAGTTCTCAAATTCAAGAGATTCAAGACACTCAGGAGGTTCAGCAGGAGGGGAATGAGGGGACTGAGGAAGTTGAGGATGAAGGGGAGGATGAGGAGGAGGAGGAGGTTCAGGAGGAGGGGGAGGAGTTGCAGGCTGCTGACGTGGATGAGGAGGAGAATGACGTGGATGATGACGTGGACGATGATGCTGCTCAAGAGAATCAGGAAGACGGGGGAGCGGGATCGGGAGGTCCAGGCTCGGGGAAGGGTCAGGAGGAGGGCGGCAAAGGGAAGGCGGGAGAAGGAGCAGGAGGTGGGTCAGGAAGAGTTGGGAGAGAGGCAGGGGAGAAGGATGAAGAGGGTGAGGAGGAGGGTGAAGGGGAGGAGGCGCAAAGGGAGGAGGGGAACGTTGGTGGTGGTGGTAACCGCATGGTGGAAGGGACAGTAGAGAAACCTGCGAAAGCCCCGTCGAGCATTCCGGTGAGTCGACAGGAGACTTTTGAGTCAACTCAAAAGACACCTCGTTTGGTGGCAGGGCCTGTAGAAAAACCTGAAAGAGCGCCGTGGAGTATTCCGGTGTGTCAACAGGAGCATTGCTTGTGCAAGCAGTGTATCGACAGCGCGGTCAAGCATTTTGGTGTATCGACAGGAGCATTGCTCGTGCAAGCAGTGTGGAATGCTAATGCCAAGCCTTCATATCTTGATCTTCTCAGCAGGGGGTGGTGTTCCTTCCACTGCTTGTCCCTCTTGAAAGTCGTTAATACCAGGCCCCTACAGAGCATTAAACACCATTTGCCTTACGCATTTTGATGAGTTTTTACTCTCTCTCTCGTTTTCCCCTTTGTCGTGTTCAGAAGAGATTTCTCAAGGAGTTGAGGGAGCTTCGGGAAATTAGTGGGATTCCCGAGCCTGCTTTGGCCTCGGATGCTGCCGAGCCTAGAGAAGGCACTCAGGCTCGGAATGGGGCTGCAGCAGGCTCGGCGACACGTGGCTGGGTTCCTCCGAGTGTGCTTCACGATCCAACCTCCATTGCCTGCTATGTAAGCCCTTCTGATGTACTTTTTCTTATGAGATGCACGAAATGAACTATTTGCATTTCATGCAATCGCCATGTAGCGAATCACTGATTCTCAGAGCACTCGACCACTTCCACTCCGACCATCCCCCCCCCCACACACACCTGCTCATTCTCCTGCCATCACGACCTCCTGCTTTTTCTTTTCTTATGTCCGACTTTATTCAAACGTGATTGTTTATTATTCAGTGCACCCACCTATGCTTTTTAATGTGTGACTGGTTTCAGGTGCCGACGAGTGGACCACATGTTCCTAAGCAGCTGCCACGGGATGTCATGAGTTTGGGTGTGCGCTTGTTTGCGAAGAGCCCTGGCGCATTGTTGTGGCAGCAGCAAGCCAAGGCAAGGGGAGGAGGAGGCTCCATGAGAAAGGAAAATGTGCCTTCTATCACCAGTTACAGTTCTTTCTTTGTAGGTTTAGAGAGCCAGAAGTAGGTAATACCGTATTACGGTTTGCTGAGCGACATATGTAGGTTAAGGGTGCATTCGGGGCTCTGGTCAGAACCTCTTATCAAACCTCTGGTCAATCGAAATCATGCCTATTTCTCACCAATTGTGCTAATTGTAAGGTTGGCTACAGTATTAACCAGAGGTGAGGTTTTAAGGTTTAAGGTTTTATTTAGGTCGTAACCAGAGGTTAGACCAGACCAAAGCCCTGACCAGTGTGGCATCATCTTCTACCTGAGCACTTGCTGCTGTTTCCCCCTTTTTTATTCACGGATCCATTTTTTTCTGTTTCACGAAGCCCTATTTAATGAACGACAAGTTGTCGCTCAACTCGGGGTTTCCTCCCTTCGAACTTCCATACATTTTCTCCACCAATCATTTTCGCTGCCGTTTCCTGAGTCGAAAGAACTGTACATTCTGACCTGGCATTCCTGGCTGGGGTAGACGGACGGCAATTGCGAGTGGCGAGGCGAGTGGGTACACTGTAGAGCTGGCATGGGCTGCCCTGCCTGTGGGCGAATTGTGCATTGAAAACACTTTCGACGAGCTTTGACGGGCAGATTCATCCCAGTTGCGGGAAACATCCCCCAACAGATGTCATATTTCTGGGGCTTTTTCCGTCGTATCCTGCAACATTTCCAGGCCGGTGGTTGTCTTCGGGGTATTTACCCAGATGTAGCTCCTTCGTCAAGCAGCTCTTCTTCCATTCCGTAGAAAGCTTTCCATTTCCAATACTCCACGTTCACAGATCTTCCATTTTCCGCGATTTCTAGGTCATAAGTTTTGCAGTGTGAAGCAGCGTCCAGTCCAGGATTCTCGTGACGTCACTTACTCTAATGTCCAATGTTTCACCGAGCAATAGTTGATTTCTGAGCTTTCCCTCAGCAACCTCTGCTCCTCTTTTGTTTCACGCACATTGAGCTTTCAAGTATCATCTTTCACCACCTGCCGTCCTTATGTCGTCGTTAGGTTCCCTTTCCATGAAACGGCCCAATGTCGCTCGGCTACAAGTTCCAGGCGACGGCAATCCGGTTCCGGCCACGAACGCTGCCGATGCGTGTCATTCAACTGAGCCTCACGAAGAGCATGCGAAGACCGGCGACGCAGCATTTTCCATTTCGCAGGCAACGCGAGGCGACGCCAGCGAAAATAGTGGCGAATGCCGTATCATTGCAGGAGATTCCTTCGCAAAGCCTGTTCATCCTCCAGCGCGCCGCAGCGCGTCGAAGCACCGTCGAGCCTCTTCCGTATCGCGTTCCGCGTGGCTCAGCGAGGAGCAAATCTGCTCTGCGCTCGCCGCTCCGCCAGTTCCCCCGGCATTCGGCGCTCCTTCTCCGCGAAATGCTGCTTCCGGCGCTGCAGCGTCCGCCTCCAGACGATCAAGCTGGGCGCTCGCGGCTGGCGCGCCCGGCATTATGGCGGAAGGCTTTGGCTGGGGAACGATAAAAGGCGACCTGTGCGACAGCGGTAACAGCCGCGGCCTCGTCGCAGCAGCAATGACGTCAGATCCTTCGTCTGCTACCGGTAGCACGAGCAGCGGCAATCGCTTGAAATTGAGTTTTAGTAGCGGTGACAATGTAACAGACAAGGACGACGTTTCTGGAGCCGACGCGGCGCGTCTACCATGGCTGCCGCCTGTGATCTCTTCGCGCAGCAGCAGTGGCGAAAGTTACCCGTGCCTCGCCACTCCCAGGTCGAACAGGGCTCGGCGAAGGTCCTTCACGAACACCTCGTCTGGTAACCCGGAGAGGAATCAAAGGCCTGATTCTGAGTCGAGACTGAGCATGTCAGAAGCTTCGGAAACCGTCTCCGCTGCTGGTGGTGGTGCCGGTTGTACCAATGCTACTGATGCTGCTGCTGCTTCTGCTACCTCTGCTTCTCCTGCTTCTGCTGCTGCGTCTGCTGCTGATGCTACTGATGGTGGTGCTGATGGTGGTGCTGATGGTGGTGCTGCGTGTACTGATACCACTGCGGTGCCAGTCCGCGCATTCCCCCATTCCCACAGCGCGCCCGCTGATGAAAGTCCAGGAACTGGGGGGAGCGGCGGGGGGAACGCGCCGCCTTCTCCTATGGGTAGGATTCCGAGCTCTGGGTTTGGCGGGGGCGGGGCGATGACCCCGCGACAAAGAGCCGCGCGGAGCATGTTCCCGCGCGCCGTGTCCGCTTCGTCCGCCCACGTCAGCAGCGAGAGCGCGGGAGGGGGGATAGGCGGGGCGAATCGGAGGCGAGGGGGCGGGCGGGTAGTTGGGCGGGTTGGCTCATCCCCGCTACAAGCGTTCGCGCTACAGCCGTCCCTGCTGCAAGCAGCTGCGTCTCTCAGCGGTGTAGATGCACTCTCTCAGGAAAACAACCCCGAAAAGGAAAAATTTTCACAGACTGGGTCCCCTGCCCGCGTTGGCCCAGGTTTGGGGCGAAGGGGGGTCACGGTGGCAGCAGCACCGAAACTGAAACCGCTGCCAGAGCTGCGGCAACTCAGTGGGCGTGTGGCGCTGAGGCAATTCAGCGGTTTGTCTGGAGCCCCGTCCTACTCATCTTACAAAGAACGGAGGTGCGGGGAGGAGGAGGAGGGGGAGAATGAAGAGCAGGTGGAGCTATTTGGAGGGAAGAAAATGGCTCCGAGGCAGCACCAGCTGCGGCAGCTTCAGAGAGGCTCGACTGCTCCCTGTGATGAGATCGACGGTTCAGTTTTCGAGATGGTGGATCCGGAGGAATCCAGCGGCCCAGAACCACCAGCTGTGGACAGTCAGTGCACTTAGGATTTCCGGTTTCGAGATGCTCCTTTTGTTTGAGAATAGGTTGCGCTAGGTTCAGAGCTGGGTCGTGAGGAGCGGAAAGGGCAGCCACGGAGGATGTGGACAGAGCGGGGGGGATCGGGGAGGGGTTGGGGATGGGGATGGTGGACAGAGGGGGACGGGGAAAACAGGAAAGAGGAGGGGATTTTGGGGCATCAGGGTGCGCGAGATGCATACAAGCAATTTTCTTGATGCTTTACATACGGCTTGTGATTGTTTGAAGGCGATTCTACGGCAATTAGCCATTGCTGGTCAATGCTCGGAGAGGGAAATTCCAGACTCAAGAGGTGTTTCCACTTTGGCTTGTTAGGACTACAAGTGTGTGTAGTGTACCCATTACAATAGTGTGGCTGAGATTCTGGTAATTTGTGAAAGAAGAATTAGCAAACAGAATACAACAAGCTGTATAATAACAGATATCGAATCACAATCTTTCCTTGGCTGCAAAGCACAATGCAGCTCAATCCTGCAGCTTCCAAGCAGATAACGTTTGCAATGCAAGATCTGTTTGTAAGGCCAGTCCTGCCTACTCCTGCAGCAGCTGAGCAGCCAGTGCAAGCTCTTCAAACACCGACCCATCAATCTCACTCACTGAGTGACGCCGTGCATCAGGGACGTCGCTAGGATTTGAGGGTGCCTGATGCATCAGACGGGCCCTTCGGGCCCGTCTGATTCATCAGATTCTGTTTTTTACCGTGTCTGATGTATCAGATACTTTCGAAATGCGTGTCTGGCCAATCGAATGGGCAAATGATTCGGACTTGACCAATCACAGCAGAATCACCCCCTCACAGCAAATTCGGTCCGTCACAGCAGATTCGCTGTCACACTGACACAGCAGATTCGCCCCGTCACAACAATTTCGCCCCTGACACAGCAGATTCGCCCCCTGACACTAACAGATTCACCCCTGACGCATCAGATTCACCCATTCACAACTCGAATCCCATATTCACCCCTGCAGTAATTGGATTCGGTATCAGATGAAACCAAAACATGAACCTGATTGATCAGATTAACTTAAAAACTACTCCTTACCAATCAGAAATTACAAAAACCAATTTCTGAAAAATCAGATGATCTCTAAAAACTCGATCTGAATATAAGACAAACAGACAAAAAATTTCTGCTAGCGACGACCCTGCCGTGCATGCTACCTTCCACCCTGCTTCTTGCTAGGAACAATAAGTCTTAAAGCGCCTCTGTCGTGTCGAAACTCAGGACACAAGCGAAGCAGTCCAAATCGAAGCATCGCGAGTCAACCCTCGGAGGTTAGGGTAACCGCCTGGAGGTTACGCGAAGGTCAAAAGTCAGCGACCTTTGACTTGACAAATACAGCGCGACAGCAAGGACACACAACTGACTCGACATTGAGCAGTTGCCCGAGTCGCACTGTATCGAATCGCAACAGCAAAACAGTTTAATTATATCTATTCGTATTCCTTGTACTCTTATATAAAAAGCCTTGTATTTGCTTGTTTTAATCAACTCACTTTGCCCTCACATACTAGCGCAAGGTGGTTCAAGGACTTTTCATTCAAACGCTTCCGCTATTACAATCCTACTCAGACTTTAACTCTACAAAGATCCTAGGGCATCTCAGCCCAACATGGTATGAGAGCAGATAGAGTTCAAAGTTACTTTTTCTCTTAATACTTAATACAAGGAAGACATGTCTACTAGGAAGGAGAGGAGCTCCTCCAACGGTTCTCCAGGCACTACCCCTACTCCACCTCCTGTCTCTGGTCTACAGACGGAAGAAGGGACTACCACGAGACCAGCAGCTGGGTCTACGGAAACGCCCGCAGGCTTCGATCCAAGCATGATGGAGAAATTCTTCTCCTTCATGTCCTTGTACGAGCAGCACCAGCAAGGAGTACCTGCGCAGTCAAACAACAACAACAACAACAACGTAACTCCTATGAGTCTCGACGGCTCATCCTACGCACGCGGAATTCAACAACAACAACAGCAGCCTACCTTTGCGCCGTACGAGCCCCAGCGTGGCTCCGTCAGCTTCATGCCAAAACCGCAATCTGCACCGGGACAAGAAAGGGCATTGGACGCATTACAAGTTCAATCGCAATTCGCACATGTTCTCAAGCTGCAAACGACAAAGCCTTTCGACGGAAAAGACTTCTTCACCTGGTCGTTCGAGTTCGAACTGATGATGGAAGGAGCACAGATTCTTGGCTT